CGCCGATCACCTCGAGCCATGACAGCAAATCCGCCCTTCGAGGACGAAGCACAAACGACAACAGCCGTCCTTCGATTAAAATCGAAGACGGAAATAGCAGTCGTCCTTCGATTAAAATCGAAGACGGAAAAAGACTCCAAGCGGCCGAAGCCCTAGAGAGAAGGAGAGACGATCGCAACAAATTTTCCGCAAAAAGATTTTACGTTACTAGTAACACTTGTACTTATTTAGTCATATTAGTCACATTTTTGGAAATTAAAAAGGGTCTCTTTTTTGTCCATTGCCTACTTTTTAGTAATATTCATGTTAAAACCTCATTTATGTTTCTTTTTAATTCTTTTACGCCTTGAAATGCAAAAAAAAAAAAAACTAAGAAGACTGGACAACCGTTGTTGGTCCCCAAATGCCCTAATTGGGACCAGCACCGATGCGGGGCGGGGGTCCAGTACTACCAGTTGACCTAAGAAAAAACGAAAAACGCTAATGGACACTTTTTAGGAACGTAATGAAACCTTACGGTATTCTTAAGGGTCACCCGGTCAGTGGCAGACCCACAAACGGTCCCACGAGGTCCCGGGACCCATGGACCTAAAAAAAATAACTATATATACAGGGGTGGAGACTGGAGACAGGGGGTGGCTGGCAGTGGCCGTGGCCCCTGCAAGAATTTTTTTTGATGTATAAATATAATAAAAAATACTTATAAGTAGTAAAAAATATAGTGAAAATTTAAGTATTGGCCCCGGCTATATAAATTCCTTAAGTCCGGCCCCTGTAACTTGACATTCCTGGCTCCGCCACTGTATATATATTACTAGTATACTTCTATATTTATATTAAATGTACTGAAAAATGTATAAGAGCTCGAAACGATTGTATAATTGCAAAGGGATCCAACGGACGGATAGTAGCACAACCAATAGTGTGGTTCCGTTGACACGGAGGTCTAGTGTTTGATCCCCTGTTGCGACCATTTTTTTTGTTTTTTAAATTTATTATTGCAAAAAATCATTACTGTGAAGTTTACACTTTTACATAATTCAATTTTTTAGATTAATTATTAAAATATTTTTGAGTTTTAAGATTAAACTATTAAATGTATGATATTTATGAATAGTTTTTTTCAATATTTTACGATTTAGAATGAAAAGATACTTCGATAGTAAACCTGGATTTAAAGAAATATGGAGCACGGAAAGTAGATTGAACGTTAAATCAAACGATTCGTCATTATTAAATGAAGAATTGGACCAAATTATTGTTGAATGTGAAAATATTTTGACTAATTATCTACGGGACCAACGTGTTCAAACCTAAGAAGGTACATTTATAGAATTGTAAAATGAAATATATATGTGTGTGTGTAATTTTGTGTGTTATGACTATCTCAATATTTTGATCATGTTAACAATGAAATGTTATGCTACTTTTGAGCCTGTTTGGTGATACTCAAACCGGCTAGCAGATTCTACTTAAATTTATGAAATTCTGGTAGAAATGGCTGGATTGGTTGATTCTATTGATCTATGAAAAAAAATATTTCAAATATATTTTACTAATAAAATAAAATAAAAATTATATGAAAGATAACTAGAAGTCTAAAATAATTTTATGCAGTAATTTCAGTTAATACAGATAGAAAAATAATTCTAAACTTATTTTTTTCTTATTATTACACAATTCAGCGTACAAAATAAAGGGTTACGTGTTTTGTGAATAAGTTGTCTGATAAGCCGAAAAACAAGGTTAACGAACGGGCTCTTAATATTTGACTTCTTTTTTAATTAATTAGAGTTACATTAAGATAGCGATCCCGTGACACTGATTTTATGGGCATCCGGTCATGTTCAAATTAGTGATTACAGTGTTCACTTATTGATCCATTGATGGATGCAATTTCATGAGTACAGTGAGTTAACAAACGGTCGGCTTTAAAACAAAGTCACGATTTTGGAGATGAAAATGTGCAAATACTACACGGGTTAAATGTGCATGCTTAGAATAAAAGATAAACATGCCACCAACTTTACTAATTTTGTGATGTGGTACATGCCTCAAGGGTGACTTAGGGGTGTTTGAATATGATTCTTAAAACTGCAGAAGCAGAAGTTAGAGTGTTTGGTTGAAAGTGCATAAGTGATATTTTTTGTTCTAATTTATTCTTAGAATCGGTTTTTTTAGAATCTGGGGGAGATCAACTTCTGAAAACTGATTCTGCTTCTGCTTTAAAAATGAATCAGAGGTGGAATCAGTTCCAAAAACATTGTGGTTAGGCACACTTAGGACTTAGGCCTTGACATGAATAAATGAATGTACTTCATTGCACCCCTTACATGCAAGTATTGTAACCAACTAACCAATCCAACATTGCATAAAAGACATTGTGGTTAGGCACACTTAGGACTTAGGCCTTGACATGAATAAATGAATGTACTTCATTGCACCCCCTTACATGCATGTATTGTAACCAACTAACCAACCCAACATTGCATAAAAGACATTGTGGTTAGGCACACTTAGGACTTAGGCATTGACATGAATAAATGAATGTACTTCATTGCAGTCTTTCCTTTAGAAATTCCACCCCTTTTAATTACTTTTAATTACACAATTGTTTGAGGTTGCTTTAAAAATATCTCCTTGATTTTTCATGATGAAATTAAAATTGGATTTTTCAATACGCTTGTCTTCTTAAATTTAAAAAACGATTACATAGTTGGAGAGGGAAAATTATACAGTGCAATCAGTATAATGTGCGTGTTACAAATCTAGCTAGCCTATACTAGGCCTATATCAAACTCATAAGCCTAGATGTAGAACACACTCACAAAAGAACACACGATTAGGAAGTGCGGACACCTTCCATATAAGCCACCGATCAAGTCCATACTTGATCGGTGTAGGAACATTACAATACCCTCACGTTTCGAAGAGCCACCACTCCATAGGCCACTACTCGAGCGTTAGACAGGAAAGATGGGGACGATTCTGATATCAATTGTTATGGACCTAACTCATACTAGGCTCATATCAAGGTCTTAAGTCTAGGTGTAGAACGCACTCCCTGTCCAGCAGACTGGGAGGAGGGGACACTTGATCGGTGTGACATCGTTACGGAGCACATGGTATTCCCGAAAGATACAAATAAAATCGGATCTGAAATCATATCATATATTTAAAAAAAACTAACAAAAATATTCATATTGGCGAATTATTTGAGTAAATAGGAAAACAGCAATACTAATTAAATAACGATTTATTTATATATTTTTAGCATGCCCATAAGGACATATGAGGAAAGACCAATCTTGGAACCGAGTCATTCAAACTATGTTAGGATGTTTTCTTTTGGACTGAAATTTGCTGGTCTGGTCTATTTAAGTCTGGTCTGGTCTGGTCTGAACTGGTCTGGTAAACGTCTGGTCTTTGTGTACTCCCTCTGTCCCTAAATAAACTTCCATTTCGCTTTTCGAGGATCAACTTAAATCACACTTAAACTCTTACTTTATATATCAAAATTTTATAAAAAGTGAATTTTGTTTTGCAAGCTTTGTAGCGGGTTTGATGTAGTTTCTGAATATGTAATTTTTATTTTCTAAAAATAATTCGAGTTTTCACAGGGATCATTTAACTTTATCGCTGGTCAAACTTCGTAACCCGCAATTGGAAGTTTAATATGGGACGGAGGTAGTATTTTATAACTATCCAAGTCTGGTCTGGTCTGTTTAAGTCTGGTCTGATCTGGTCTGGGACTGAAAACAGTCCAAAAGAAAACATCCTTAATGAGAGAAGCTTATGAGCTGGTAGGAGGACAAGTTAGGGTTAGGACCATACAACTATTGGGCTTCAGAGTCTTGTGTTCTGAAGGGGCCTTTGGGGTGTAGGTGGTCACTAGTGGGTTTTGTGCTTATTGGGGGTGGTCACTCACGACTTTTCTGACCACTGACGGGATATACGATTTTGTGGTCACTTCTAGCATGTAGTGACAAAAGTGGAGTGGTGGGGCATTTTTTAAGATTATTATTACAAAAAATATTATTTAAAATAATAAATTTCATACTTTCTCCCTCTGTATGTAAAGTTTCACTATAATAAGTTTGGGCACATGATTTAATGACGAAATAGTAGAGGTTATGCATAGTGTAGAAAAATAGGAGAACAAGTATAAAAGTTTGAAAAATTAAGATAATTAACGGGAAAACTTTCTAAAATTGAAAAATATAATGAACTTTTAAATACATTCACAAAAGGAACGTTTAGTAAAGTTCAAAATTCAATGGAGGCATTAAATAAAATAAAAGGTAATGTAGTATATCATATTGATTGTAAATAGTACATTTTTGAAAAACTAAAATAAATTGTATAATCATCTTTTATCTTTGAGAAAAGTTGTTGTCCTTGTGTGAGAGTTAGCTCAAAAGTGACAAGTGGCGTTCAAATGGATCACACCTACATTTAAGTTTCTCCTCTTATGGAGAGTTGAAATTGCCAATGAGATGAGTTTGAGTTTTTCTCAAATGATAATTGTTTAATAGCTCAAATGATTGTTTAATCATTGTTTTGTCTCATCTCAAGCGACGTGGTGGAGTTTACTTCCTCCATAGAATAACTAGATTTCTTAAACACAAAAGAATAGGAATGATGAAAATGATTATTCTAAGGGTTATGCTTTATTGTGTACACAAAATGTAAATGAGAGACAAATTCTGCTTCTTTCTTAACGAAAAAAAGTGTTCACATGCTATGTTAAAACATTTTTGTTATTCTAACTTGTGAGCTTTGTTTTCATAGTCTCCGGCCAATTAAAAGAACAAGAACAATTATTACTCTAGGGCCCTAGGCCTGTAGCTACTCCTCTTCTTTTCAATGTACCGTTTTATTTCTAAAAATCAGCATAAACTGCGGTTGGTCCCACTTGGATGAGTCACGAGTCTTTCCTCCCTCATCTGTAAGCCTCTGCTTAGTTCCCTCATGCAATTTCTCTCCACTGTACCTATTTTGTCTCATGCACTCCTCTGCGTATATGATTGGATACAGTATATTCCGTGTGTTTTTTAAATGCCATAAACTCAATACGGATTGTACATCTACTGTCTTATTGCAGATAATAATTGAATTTTGTATGCAGATAACTATGTTTATGAATTATACTCCGTATATAGGAGGGAGTTGTAAAACGTCAGATTCTTATCTATATAATGAAAAGTCTGAACTCCCAAGTAATACCGAAAAAGTCTAGTTTTTTTTCTCTCTAAATATATACCCACCCGTGCACAAACGCTCAAGAAATAGGAGGACCGAAAGCTGTCGCTGGTATCATGGCCGGTCGGAGAATCACGTCATTTCTCACTCGTTCCTTGAACACTTTTTCCTCTCCTCGCCTGCTCTCCGGCGGTATCAATTTCTGCCTAGATTTGTTTATTTGTGTGTATACACCTTTTTGCTGTAATGGAATCGATGGGTTGTTTTTCCCAGTTCTTAAAAACTGTTATTCAGAAAGCGTGAATTGTTCTTATAGATGTTGTGAGTTGTGACAGATTCTTGAAATGTAGTAAAATCAGGTTTCTCTTCGCGGCGAGAAGAATTTGCAGTTTTTGCTTGTTGTAGTTTTTGGCATTTAGGATTTACCCGATTTATAATTAGGGTTGTAATCCTTTCAATTTGGTCGGTTACAAGAATCCAAGCTGTTCTTTTTAGGTGGGACTTCGAATTTGTGTGGAAGAATTCATAGATTAAGCACGGCTGCTGCTATTGAAGAGCCAATTAAGCCTCCTGTCTCTGTTGAGCACACACAACTCCTCATCAATGGACAATTTGTTGATTCAGCTTCTGGTGATTGTTGATTATAATTTGAGATCTTGTTTACTCATACACTTAAATACTGTATTGAACTAATTACCAATAATTTTGCAGGCAAAACTTTTCCTACCTTAGACCCGAGGACGGGTGAGGTGATTGCACATGTTGCCGAAGGGGAAGCAGAAGATATCAACAGAGCCGTCTCTGCTGCTCGAAAGGCTTTTGATGAAGGCCCTTGGCCAAAGATGACTGCATATGTAAAACTATTCTTTCAATTTTCTTTTTAATGCTTTGCTTACTATTCTTATATTTTCATTAGGGTAAGTTTGGGTACTGGAAAATGCCTGGGAGGGATAAAATGCCGTCCAAAGTTATTTGATTGTGTTTTTATACCATGCAAATGAATGACTGATGTTTTCAAAGCATATTTTAGATTTTCTTAGTCTTTATATGATGAAAATAGATTAATGGTTGATTTTGAACAAATGTAAAAATATAGCCATTCAGCTTGAAATTTTGTTTTTATTTTTCTGTTATCTTCCTTTCCTTCCAAATTTCCCCTGTATTTTGTACTTGTGTCCTCTCCCTAGCATTTTCCGAGTTCCAAACAGATCCTACATGTTTCACCTTGGGAAAAATGATCTCAAGTAAGCTTTTACTTGGATATGCGAATGCAGGAAAGATCAAAAGTAATGCTGCGATGTGCTGATCTGATTGAGAAGCACAAGGATGAAATTGCAGCACTTGAAACTTGGGACAATGGAAAACCATTTCTACAATCTGCTACTACTGAAGTTCCCATGCTTGTACGCTTAATCCGCTATTATGCTGGTAGGTCAATTGAAGGAACAATTATCAGTATTCGTTTTGTTAGAAGTCACTATTTTAAGATTTTGTAGTCTCCTAGGCTTCACATGGTAGCCTACTAGCCCAGTTTTGCGTATTCTGCTTATATCAGCATGATAATTAGAACCAATAGTACGTTCCTGTCTTACTTAGAGCATGTTTGGCATCCATGCATATCTCTTTTTTCCTTGTAAAGTCTCATCTTTTTACAAAAGTTTTTGTGTTTGGGGTGGTATATTAATTGAAAAAGAAAGTATTTTCATCAAATTTCTGATGTTTTGGAGAAGTTTGGATTTTGTAGGTTATCGTAATTTTTAACAAATTGTTTTTCTTTCATCATTGTTCATACCTATTTTTTAACAAATTGTTTTACCTTATAAGAACTTATTCTTCGTTGCATCCAAACGGATTTTTTTTGCAAACCACTTTTTAGTAAACTTAAGTAAACAAAAACTGATTCTAATTGAAATGTTATATCAATTGCACCTATGGTCTGACTATTTAAATTATCTGATTTTTTCAGCTTTCCTGGAAACATTCTGAAAGTTTTTCAGAAAAATAAGCCATTTCAGCCAAATAACCATTGTCAAATGAGCTTCTTATGCGTTAATCATTTGTAGGATGGGCTGATAAAATTCATGGTATGACTGTCCCTGCTGATGGACAATATCATGTTCAAACTTTGCATGAGCCAATTGGTGTTGCTGGACAAATCATCCCTTGGAACTTTCCTCTTCTCATGTTTGCTTGGAAGGTTGGGCCCGCATTAGCATGCGGAAATACCATTGTTTTGAAGACAGCTGAAAAGACACCTTTGTCTGCTCTCTTTGTTGCAAAGCTCTTCCATGAGGTAGTGCTCACAGAGTGTTTGGGATGACTTGTTTTAAGGAATATATGCTTTTTTAGGAAGAAAGGTGCCTTGGCATATTAAAAAGCGGTTGCCAGGGAGGGGGGGGATCCTTTTAACAGAAAACAAAGAACCTTTATTGCTTATTTAAGAAAACAACAAATTGGTGGTTTTAAAAATACTGTAGGTGATCAATTAAGAGAGAACTTGTACCCACAAGTTTACTTACTTTATCTGTCAAGCGTCAACCTTATCTTTATACTTTTAGGTTGCCTAACATAGTGTTACGCTCGATACTATAGGCTGGACTGCCTCCTGGCGTTCTTAATGTCGTCTCTGGTTTTGGTACCAAAGCTGGTGCTGCTCTCTGCAGTCACATGGATGTGGATAAGGTAGCTTAAATGCTTCCAATGCAGTTTGTTTGCTTAAATATTTGGGCAAAAATCAATCAGGGACTATATTTTGGGAGTATTTATTTTGTGTTGCTACTACTGCAGCTTGCATTCACAGGTTCAACGTCAACTGGGAAGGTTGTGCTCGAATTGGCCGCCAAAAGCAATCTTAAACCTGTGACATTGGAACTTGGTGGAAAATCACCTTTTATTGTTTTTGAGGATGCTGATGTGGATAAGGCTGTTGAACTAGCCCACATGGCTCTCTTCTTCAACCAGGTATTTCATCATCCTTAAGGGTCCGTTTGGAACTCGAAAGATGGTGGGAAAAGAAAATAGAGAGGAAATGAATGGGAATTTTTGAATGGAAGAAAAGTGGTGTGGGGGATTGCTTCCATCTCATTTCCCCCTTTCATCTACCATTTTCCGCGTTCCAAACATAGCTGAAGTAAACAGTAGTGATATTTGCTGAATATATGGCTCTCTATAAAAAGTCTTCTGGTTTTTAGGGACAATGTTGCTGTGCTGGGTCTCGGACATTTGTCCATGAGAGTCTCTATGATGAATTTGTAGAGAAAGCAAAGGCACGTGCTATGAAACGTACAGTTGGTGACCCATTCCATGCAGAGACGGAACAAGGTCCTCAGGTATATTTAATCGTTAGCTTTGTTTATCAACTTCTAGCTTCATTGTTTTTTGCCTCTTCTCAGGAATGTAAACAAATGCTTGCATAGAGCAGGTTGATTCGGAACAGTTTGAGAAGATCTTGAAGTACATTAGATCAGGAATTGATGGTGGAGCTACCCTTGAAGCTGGAGGTGACAGACATGGCACTAAGGGCTACTACATCAAGCCAACAGTTTTCTCCAATGTTACGGTGAGCTGTTTTGCACTTATTTTGTTGATCTTCGAGTAGGCTATCTATTACTCTCTCCGTCCCATAAATTTCTTCCCACTTTTCTTTGTGGGATGTTCCGAAAATATCTAATTTTCTTTTAAGTAAAGATAAAGATTAGTGTGATTAATTTTACATCATGCACAACCATAGAATCACTTTATTACAAGTGTGTCAACTCAAAGTGGGAAGAAAATTTTGGACTGGAGTATAAGAAAAGTATACACAGTGCCTAATCAACACCGTACCTCATGCTTTATGGAGTGTTATCATTGTGCTTTGATAGTGGCATAGACTTCTAATGTCTCTGGTATCATGTTGAATTGACTTGTGTTTGTATTTTCAGGACAACATGCTAATAGCAAAGGATGAGATATTTGGTCCGGTGCAATCAATCTTGAAATTCAAGTACGTTTTGTAAAAAAAGGCACTTAAAAACGACCTCACAGAGCTAAGTTCGTGTGACCTATAACTTCAGCACAAAGCCAAATATTGTGCTGAGATGCATCATTTGTGAAACTGAAGCATTTTGAAGACTTAATCTTTTCAATTAGGGAAAACTGTCAAATAGGTCATCTTACTATACCAAACAAGTCAATTAAGTCCTCGTACTTTGAAATCAATCAATTGAGCCTTTAAACTCATAAAAAATGCTCAATTAAGACGTTTAACCGGCATAGAACAAGTTTCCCGGTCATTAGCTTACGTGGGCCGTTCATGTGGTCTTTTAATTTTATTTTTACTTTTTTTTCTTTTCTTCCTTTTGTTTTTTTTCTCTTTCTTGCTTTCCCGCACTGTTCGCAGTTCCACACCAGGGAAGAGAAATTCAGAACTCCCTCCCTTCCTGTTCGCACAAAGGAGACGAATTAGATCTTGAATCGCAACCATCGCCAGAGTTGCAGCTTGTGGCGGCTACCGCCGGAGTCATCCCTCACTCCCAGGCTAAGCAAATGGAGAGGCACATCAACCAGATCTAGACAACGGCTTCTTGCAAGACTGATAGAAATGGAGGCTGACTGGATAGGTAAAGATGGCGGCCGTTGAACTAAGTTGCAGAGCGAGTCAGAGGCGCAGACGGTGGCACAAAGGGTCGAATGGGATGCGGCAGACCGGCAGTGCTATACGTGAACGAAATGGAGGAGACAAGCAGTGGACACCTCACTAGAGGGTTGGTGCAGTGGGCTGGTGGTAGAATACGTCTGAAGTTTCTTTCTGCTAGCCGCTGAGAAAGACGAGGGACGAGTGATGATGGTGATTGGGAAGACTATTGAATTGAAAACTAATACAAAAACATTTAAAAAAGCCACATGGGCGGTACATGTAAGAGTTAACCGGGGAAACTTGTTCTTTACGGGCTAAACGGCTCAATTGAGCATTTTTTATAAGTTTAAGGGCTCAATTGATTGATTCTAAAGTACGAGGACTTAATTGACTTTTTTAGCATAGTAAGAGGACCTATTTGACAGTTTTCCCTTTCAATTATTGTGTCATCTGGAATTAGGGAAAGCCAGGAGTTTTTTTATTTTTATTTTTGTACCTGGCCATGGTATGAGCAAGTAAAACCTACATGTTTCAAAACTAAATTACAAATCATATTGAACAAAAGTGACATGAGTAGTTGTAGTTTGATCAATAAATAGTAACTATAATGACACGAAAAATTAGGCAGAGGAAGCGATTTTTTACTCAAAAAGTTGCTGCAGGTCTATTGTTACGGGGATGTTCTTTCAGTTATCAAATTTTTATCATTATTGTTTGTCTGCAGGGATATTGACGAAGTAATCAGGAGAGCAAATGCGTCCAAGTATGGTCTTGCTGCGGGGGTCTTTACACAAAACATTGACACTGCAAATACAATGATGAGAGCTTTGAGAGTTGGGACAGTATGGATTAATTGCTTTGATACATTTGATGCTGCCATCCCTTTTGGAGGGTATAAGATGAGTGGGCATGGAAGGGAGAAGGGAGAATACAGTCTCAAGAACTACTTACAGGTCAAGGCGGTTGTCACTGCATTGAAGAATCCCGCTTGGCTATGACCATCCTCTTCTCACATCAAGCTAGGGTTAATTCAATAATGATGATGATGAAATATTGCCTTTTGTTTCAATAACACTTGTCATGTTGAGTGTTCGTTATACTTCTAGTTTAAACATCCATTTGCTGTGCTGAACACATAAAGGTTAAATAAATATCCATTTGCTCCCTCTCCCCTTGCATACTATTTTTGAAAAGTTAATTTACACCTGTTATAAATTTTTTACTAGGCATGAGTCTTAATCATATCCTTGTACTTTTTTCCTTCCTCCCACTAGCCACCTTGTCAGTGAACGCCTCCCTTGAAAGAGGAGGGGGAGAAGGTGGCTGAGTGGGTGGGAGAAAAGAGACAAAGGATGTGGAGAACAATCAGGTGGTTCAAAAACTGGGGCACTTTTTGTGGAGGAGCATAACAGCATACTTGAGGGGGAACAGCCGCAAAGGGGAACAGGTGGTGGCTGGAACCAAGTATTACCGGTGGTGCCGCCAACACTTTTGATGACGTGGTGGTGGATTGCCACCGTCTTTGCCTCTTTGGATTGCCATTTGCTACCATCGGAATGTTGGGAGAAGCTTCAAAAATTTTCAGAAAACTGCCCCATGCAAAGTTTGATGCAAAATTTGCCATTGCCACAGACTGCGAATCACTGGCAAATTTTGAGTAATTTATTGTCTAACAGTTAGAACATTAACAATTTTTGAAGAACGTCATGTGATTCATGTCTAATGACTTCCGACAGTGGAGAATCTTACCAAAATACAATATTATACATGGTTCTCACCATGGGCGGAGTTAGGAGTGGACCAACTTAGGCCATGGCCCACACAAATTTTAAAAATGGCCTAATTTTCAAGTTAAAAAATTTCGTGTAGAATTTTTTCAAAAAATATTATTTGTACCGGCCCAATTTGGCCGAGTGCTCTAGCTCTGCCCCTGGATGGCAAAAGTTTTATGGCAAACACGCACATACATGGGTCACTCTACACGGTAACACGGCTTATAATGGAGGAATGATGGGGAAGTCTTACGACATTATTCAGACAACATTGCTGAGATTGTCACTCGCATATGAACGATTGTGAAAACAAGTTGAAGTACTTTTGAAAATCTGTTGCAAGCTAGTGTACTTTATTTATTCCACCAGAGACAAGTTGATGTACTTTATAAGAACCGGTGCAAGTTCTTGTATTTTTTACTCCACTGTAGTAAGGATGTAAAAAAAAACCCGCAATGACCCGCCCTGGCCCGAGACATTTGGGGCGGGTCCGGGTCAACAAGTTTTGACCCGTGCAGGTCATGGGGCGGGGCTTTTTAGGTCATGAGAAGATGACACATTTATTAAAAAAAGCGATTCATATTAAATTGATAACTTAAGAATAAAATAAGAATGACTTAAAATCATACAAATTTTACCAAATTTGCTATGCGACAATTTACTGAGACAAACAGAAAAGAAAAGATGAGACAACCTTAACAGAACAACGAGTAATTTTAGAGGAATCTCAACCGTACCCTAGTTTGACACTTTGACTTATGGTTCGGATCCAGATTCCAGAACAAGAACCCCAAAGTACGATGCTCCATTTTTCCTCAAAACTAAATGGTAATTGTTGACTGGCGAGTAATCTTATACAGTGTTTGATAACACTGAAATTGACTAAATCGATTGATTCTGCTAAAATTTATAAAGCTTTAGTTGAAGTAGTTGAATTGACAAATTCTACAGATTTATGAAAAAAATTATATTTAAAATATTTTTTATGAATAAGAAAAAGAACATTATATGAAAAATAGTTAAAATGATCTTCTATGGTAATATCAATTAATTCAATCAATAATTTTTCTTATGATTATACAATTCAGCGTGTGAAATCAAAAGTTACGTGTTCGGTTAAAAAAATAGCTACTAAGCCAAAAAACAATGTCACTGAGATTGTCCACTACTTTTTGGTTACACTGCAACTAAAAAATACTACGTACATTCCAGACTCAATTTCAAGTGCCTCTTTGTATGCAATACTGAATAAGTAGTATTAAAATTGAAATTGCAATTCCATTTATATTTGGTCCAACTTTTTATTTTATGTAATTATTTCTAAACAATAATTAAGTAATACGAGTAATACTTTAAAGAGAGATTTTTATATTTCCTGGGTAGCACGTATGAGATTCCATCTTTCTCGCACGCAGTATCCTGTGCATTGAGTACACAATCCCCCACACCATAGAGGCCACAAGTACACATTTTTTAGTGAACAGATGAAATACCTCACTCCTTGAGCTGCAAGGAGCCAAGAGTACTCCCAGTTTGGGGGGGGGGGGCTCACAATAAAAGACTTGAGTACTCAGTACTCCACGTCTCCACTATTACAATTGACACCCAAATTGGTAAAAAGGAGTTCAAAAACTAAATAACAAATAATGTGCAACAGAAGATTAACATTTTTCATCAGTTTTTTCCATCGATTTCACTTCTAATTTGCTTCTTCCAATCCAAGATGATATTCACCAATGATTACATTGAAGTTTACACGCAAATGGCAGCTAAACTATCTCATGTTTTTTTGAAAGAAATAGAAAGATTTAGAGAAAATCAAATGAAAATAGTCCACCTATCAGGAGTGGTGGACTCAGGTCAGGCCACCCTGCCCGGAACCGACCCAGAACCGGTACGGTTTGTGGCCAACCCGGCCCGGAACCGGCCCAGAACCAGTACTGTTAAGTCAAACCCGAGTCCAACCCTAGGCTCGACCTGGCCCAATACCTGGTCATAGGACCGATCAGCCACCCGAACCGGGAATAAAACAGGGCGGGCTCGGGCCTCCTAAAAGTGGAACCAACCCGGTCGGGCCGGGCAGGGCCGGACCTATTTCTTTTCTTTTTTTCAATTGTTTGGGTTTCTCCTAGGTTGGGCTAGGTGTTTTGGGGGGGGGGTTGGGGGGTGGGGGTGAAGGGGGGTCAACGGTTAGTTAGAAAAGCAAAAGAAAATAAAAAAAAAATAACATGAACCGGTCCGGCCCGGTTCTCCATTTCTAGGGGTGGACCGGTTCCGGGCCGGGCCCGGTTCGAGCCGTGAACCAGACGGGTCTTGGTTCAAGACTTCAAGGTAGGGGAGGCCCGGAACCGGCCCGGGTAACCACAGGTCCGGTTCAGGCCAGGCCCAGTTCTATATAATTTTTTTTTGGGGTTTTCCTAATCAATCCCCTACCCTCCCCTTCAACACCAAACCACCCCAAACCACCTCAAATGGCCCAAAATACCCAATCCAACCCAAAAACTTGAAAAAAATCAAAAAAAAAAAAAAAAAATCCGGCCCGGACCAGCCCCGAACCGACCAGGCCTGTTCACCAAAATGAAGGCCCGAGCCCGGAACCGATAGCCACCAGGCCGGGTCAACCCGAACCGCCCATGGGCCGGGCCACCAGGCCGGGCCGGTTCAAACAGTGACCGGGGCAGGGCGGTTCCAGTTCGGGCCACCAGGCCCGAGTCCAACCCTATCCCTTCCCAAAAAAAACCCGGCCAGAGTAATGGCTTATAAAACACTAATATCCATACAGAAGGTGAAGTTGGTATACTTGATTGCAAAAAAAGATACTCCGTAATACGTAGTGATCAACATGATTAATGAATATTATCCGTACGAAATATTGAAGTCTTCTAGTTTGGCCTTCAAAACGCAAATGGCAGTAGTTCTTGTCCATTAAGAAATAAACTCGGATCCATAAAAAAACAAGTCTACATAGAGTAATTTAGTACCATTGAAATAAAACTCGAAATGACGATTAAAGCAAAAACATTATCTCCATAAGAAGTAACCTAAAAAGGCTCAAGCTTCAGTTTTATCAGCAACAGTTTCTTCAATGGAGACATACTTGGCAGGGGGAGCGCCCAACAAGTAACTATACTCCTCGAAAGGAGACTTTATAAACCTGGTTTCAGCCCAGAAGTCTGGTGTGAGGAATCCGTACGTCTTTGAGAGACAATCAAAAGTAGCCTGTTACAAAGAGAACACAAAAACCAAGAATCACAATCCAACAGATTTTCTCTTCCATGCTGTAAATATGCAGAGGAGATAAATCATGTAGTGTAAATCAAAACTACCTTACAGGATAATGGACATCTCAGGGAACTGGAAGCTAATTCAAATGAGAATATTCTAATTTAAGTCAGTTTATAGGAAGCTTCAATCCAAGTATAATGTGAAAAAGTTTGTATTTACACCTCTTATCTGTATCTGTTTGTCAGCCTGATCTTTTACTCACACGAATTCCTTAGAATCAGCTAACTTAAATGGTTGATTACAAAATAATAAGAAGTATAGAATCACGTTTTATATAAATGGCACTCGTATACCAAAGAAATGTATTCCACTAATTTTATTTGAGAAAACAATCAACTTCACCAATTTAAGAAATAGGAAAGCCATGGCAGGAACATCTATCATTTCAAACAAATTTACAACTAAAGAACTACAATTCTTAAAAAAAGAACAGTTAAAATTATATAAAAAAAAACTTCCATGAATGTATATTCCTAAAAAATAAATAGCAATGCAGAAAGAGTTATAGATTTGAATGAGCATGTTTATTACGGAATATTATTAAACAAATATATGGAAATGTATTATACGGTGTATAAATCATGACAAGTTAAAACACTGCATACATGATACATACTGATACGTAATGATATTATTGATACGGAGTACGAAGTATATCATAACAAGTAGGCACTTTGCTTTAAAAAAATACATCCTTTACTATTTTCAGGCCACATAAGATGTGATAAATTGAAATTAAAACATCATGTATATTATGCAGTTATTAATACCTTAACGAAATTTCCGAGCGTCTTTGTGGAACCACGGGAGGATGTGTAAACGTCATCAATACCGGCGAACTGGAGAACCTTCTTAGGAACCCTGGCGGCCACGATTCCAGCACCTCGAGGAGCTGGTACCAAGCGGACAGTGACGGATCCACACTTTCCGGTTACTTTGCAGGGAACAGTGTGCGGCTTACCGATCTTGTTACCCCAGTATCCTCTCCTCACAGGAATCACAGAAAGCTTTGCCAAAATGATAGCGCCGCGAATGGCAGTGGCCACTTCCTTGGAGCACTTAACCCCCAAACCGACGTGACCGTTTGAATCTCCGACAACCACGAAGGCCTTAAACCGAGTCCTCTGACCAGCCCTGGTCTGTTTCTGGACCGGCATGATCTTCATCACCTCGTCCTTCAATGATGGGCCGATGAGTTGATCAATGATTTGATACTCCTTGACGGGCAACGAATGCAGGTAAATCTGCTCCAATGATTTGATCATATTATCCTTCACGAGCCGGCCGAGCTTGGTACATGGAACCCATTTTTCTTCCTCGGTAGGACGGCGGCGGCCACCGCGCCCTCGTCCTCCACGGTCGCCTCGCCCTCGTCCTCCACGATCGCCGCGCCCTCGGTCACCGAAGCCACGTCCGAAACCTCCTCTGTCCGCCATGACTGCTTAGACGATCTTGGGCAACAAAAGAAGAGGGAGCTAGGGTTTGGTACTGAAACTGATAATACTTCCCGCAGCATTAAATACTAGTTAGGGTTTGCCACTAATTGGGCTTTCAGCAGCACATCGAATTGGACACCCATTTTTCGAAGTCCATTTATACCATACAAATCTCATTTTTAAAATAAATAAGGAAAAATTGAAAATAATAATCCCAACTATTGTCGGTCCGCTAATAATAATCCCAACTATTGATTATTTTTGTATAATCCCAACTATATGGACCGTCCGCCAATTATGGTCCATGACCAGATATTACCTCCTAAAAAAGTGAATTTTTAATAGAAATTAAGTATAAAAATTAAAGATTAGAATTATTTATAGGGATTACTTATTATATCTCTCCTCACCCATTTTAAAAACTACACGAATTTATTTATAGGTACCATTATTGGCGGAAGGTCCCTAAAGTTGGGATTATTCTGAAATAATCGATAGTTGGGATTATTATAAGCGGACCGCCAATAGTTGGGATTATTACAATCAATTTTTCCAATAAATAATCAAACAAGCCCATTTAAATTTTAAATTAAAGTAGTCTTGATATTTAAAAAAGACAAATTCTAATGTACATCAAGGTACATGTCATATCCATGCGGATTATTATTAGTATTATTTATTTTTTTGGAGGAAAAGGAATTAATTTCAATTAATCAAATCAAAGTTCAAAACATCAACAAAGTAGTCATGTAGGACAGAACAGCAAAATCGGCTATCAGACAAAGAACAAGCCACTCTAACTAACCCGTGTGCAATTCTGTTTGCAGATCATCTGTAATAATCCATGCGAATTATTATAGTTAGAATACACAAATAGAGAGTATTTGATTGATTAAAGTCTTATAGTGTGAATTGTCGTATCGTACGCACAGTATCTCCTGAAGTATGATACATGTAAGTGTGTGCAGATTTTATTCAAATTTTGATATAGAATTATAATTCATGATATACTTTTGAATAACTCATGTTATATATTTATGTAGATGTACATGAAAATATGTACAAACAACGTGTAAGAGATTTTAATATAAATAGTTTGTTTTTTATGTAAATGTTAAATATTACTATGTGCATTTTAAATAATTTATGAGTATATAATGATTGATTAAAAAAATTAAATGCTCAGTGGAAATGAATTTATAGAAAAAATGTGTGTTCAAATATGTATGTCACGTTATAAAAAGTATAAACGGTGTGTCAAATATCTAAATCACGTTATACAAAATGTAAAATGTGTTTGTAAAATATATATATATATATATAAACTGCATGCGCGCGTTAAATATGTTATACAAAATATAAATTGTAAAATATGTAATGCGTGTGTCAAATATGTAAATCATGATATACAAAATGTAAAATGTGTGTGTTAAATGTATAAGTGTAGTTTATTTTTTATGAAACTTATGAAACACGGTGAACTTTGTTAAATTTTGAATTTGAATCACACTAACAGAAAAAATATAAGATAGGATTGAAAAAGAATTGCAAACTTATGTAAATAGCGAAGGGCAAATTCGTCATTGGATTCTTAGTATTCTAACAATGAAGAAAAAGACGGATGGAGGAGATTGAAGAGAAAGAGAAGGAAAATCACGGAGAATGAGATTGAAAATTGCAGAACGAATTGCACAAAATAAACAAATTTTTTAAATAAGAAAAATTACACTGTAATGAGATCATTATACCATTTGCATGGTATAACAATCACACGGTATAATTTGCATTAGAGTTGTAAATGAATCGATCGAACCGAATACTTGACATAATTATTTATACCCCGTATGTTTCATTTGCTGAATATTCACACTCGTTTAATAATAGAATCTTGTTTTATAATCATATTCAATTCATTTGTTGTATTTGGATATATTCCAATCATATTTGAATATTCGAATTCGAAAGAAACTAAATGTCAAATTTATCAAGATAATTAAAATTATAATGTAAAGAGCATATCCTTTTTGCTCCATTTTCAGAACACAAGCATCATTTAACAATGAAAAAATATTTCTCCTCACCCCTATTTATAGTTGATGTATCTTTCCAACTCTGAATTGATAAAATTATTTTCCAATATTATTCCTGCCACCGCCCTGCACCAATTTATCTGCCATTTTTCTCAATTTTTCCTTTTTTTTCATTTTTCGCTTTTCTCTATTTCTTTGTTCCTAAAGACCTAGAAAAAAAGTTTTACATTTCAGAACTGGTGACTGGCGTTTCAAGATCCAGAACCTAGTTCTAAAACGGTTGGTTCTAAAATGTTAGAGTTTGTTTTCGTTAGATCTCAAAAATTGGTTTATACTAGTATGTTACTCCATATTCGTTAAAGATGAATTTCGAGTTAATTTAGGCTAGAGCTAAAACGCGATGTCAGGCGTACCTAGGCGGCTAGGCATGGACCAGTTCCGGGCCGGGCTCTGGGCCGGTCCAAACCGGGGTTTTTATTGTTGGGTGAAGGCCCGGAACCGGCCCAGGATTCCACCGGATCCGGATCCGGGCTGGGCCAGTCAGACCGGAACCGGTCCATGCCTAGGCATACCTTAGGATTTAGTAAAGAGTCTTAAGGAATTGGAGGGTAACTCTCATTCAATTGGTGGCACCTGCTCCCTCTAAAAACATATTTAAGCATTTAACTTCACACCACATAAAAATTAAACAAAAAGAAGTCTTGGTACAATTGTACAAATATTTACATGGGCAAGAATAATGGTACAGCCAACTCCCATTTGAATCGGTGTACATGAGCAATGCCTCTTTGGGATATAAAAGTAAATAACAGTCAATAGTGGTATGAAAATTATAGTGAAACTTCTTGTAATGCTGCACGAAATTGGGAAGGGACCCGTAGCAAAGGGGCACGTACATCCCCGGGCTTGCCAAGCTGACCACAAGCAGCCATTTGATCATCGCCTCTGCTCAGCCGTAGAAAAACAACACACCCAGCTTCCGCAAGAATGTTCCGGAACTCAACCATCTTCTCCTCCTTTGTTGGTCTGAATAGAGATCCGGAATGAGGGTTAAAGGTTATGAGGTTAATCTTGCAAGGAATGCCGTCAACCAGATCAATTAGTCTCTTTGCATCTTCCACACTGGTCAAAGAACTCTCAGCAAATGAGGAAGGCAATGTGTAATTGTATGATATGAAGTTGAGCATTTATACTTGCAGCATCGAAGTCTTAAAAGGACAGAATGACAATAAGCCATCTAATATAGAAGGTTTTTGGTTCATGGGTGGAAAGAGTTACCAGGGGTAGTAGGATTACCTAATGTAAGGTATGTGAGATTAAAGGAACCAAAGATCATCTTAAGTTGTTCAATTCGCAGAATGTACACAAGTATGCAACACTACTTATTATCTCGTTAAATTGTTAAGTATAACCAAGCTAATCTTAATGTTTGTAAAATGCATTTTCTTGTGCATGACTGTCTTCCACAATGATTTTAATTTTTCAGATTTATCCCTTCATCTATCCATTACATTTTCTTCCTTTAAAAGGCCATAACAAATATATCTGTTATTTTCTTAAAGCCCGTGATCCCTAAGTATCTTATATTATGGGACAGATGGAGTAATAACTAACAAAACCCAAGGTAATTATTATCAAATTATGCCCAACATTACCTAATTTTCGTACTTGGAGATGATCTCAGAGTTACCAGGGTATCTAACAGCCTGAACCAAACAAGGTAATGATCTCACCTTACCTTTCTTAAATTGCTATGGTAATGTGAGATTACTCGAAGGCTTAGCACCTAAACTGGACATGAGCAGGGTCAGCCGTATGATAGGAACCTGGTAATTATCCAGTCCCAAAAGTAATGGAAGAACACACAGATCTGATAAAATGATAAGGGAATGATGTTTATTGATGAAGAAGGTAAACCGTAGGTAACAAGGGACAAGGACAGGGACTTCTTAGGCAACAAGGCAACACTCAATTCAAATAACAGTCTGCCTATTATGGCTACCCCAGCTTCTATTTATAGCAAAAGTCCACGCAGGGACTAAATAGACAACTAAATAAGCTAAAGGCACTTAATAAGCTATTTAACTCCCCTAACCCCCTTATTTAAAACTACTGATTAGGCTGATGACTAACACCGTAGCACAGTATGGGCTCACCTGTTTGGTATATTGTATACTTCCTCCATCCCAATTTGATTTGCAAATAATGATTTTCCCCTTACTATTTTAGGTTGTAAAAATGAATAAAGTGACAAATTTAACCTTACTTTTACCCCTATTCTATTTACTTTAAATGCCTCTACTTTTGGGGGAAAGGACAAAATAGTAAAGGCAAATCTAATTTATAACCTTCCTTAGTTCTTGTGTCGGTCAAGTTTTGCAAACCAAATGGGGACGGAGTGAGTATAAAAAACATAGGATGCCAATCATACACCAAGAGGTTAGACGGGGGTTGAGAACAGAAAAGTAATGGCATGGTCAAAATTGTACTAAGTTTTTGTTGAATTAAGTCTATTATTAATTATTATTATTATTATGTATGCTAAAATGCAGATAATCAAGAAAAACTACTTGCCTGTCATTAATTCCAGCAAGCATAACATATTCGAAAAAAACTTTGTAGTTGTGCTTCATACTAAGCTCCTCTTTAAGAGTCCCAAGGAGCAATTTCAGGTTATATTTCCGGTTTATAGGCATGATCCAATTTCTAACCTGCAATGTTTTCAACAATGGTAACATTTCAAGTTGTATACAGATTTAGGATGTTTTCTTTTGGACTGTTTTCAGCCCCAGACCAGACCAAATCAGACCAGACCAGACTTGACTTCCGTAGTTATAAAATACACAGAGACCAGACGTTTACCAGACCAGCCCAGTTCAGACCAGACCAGCACATTTCAGTCCAAAAGAAAACATCCTTATTTGCACCAGATCTCAATATGAAGTGTTCTTTAAAAAACCTCATCAGTGGTGGCATTCAGGCTGACTGCCAAAGCACAATTAGATTGGCGAAGAAAACGCTTTAGCTGGGGAACAAGACCGCTGGTTGAGACGGTGACCTTGCGAGGACTGAAATGAAGCCCTTGTTCATCAACCAATATGTCTGCAGCTCTTATCACATTTTCTGTGTTGTGGAGTGGTTCCCCCATCCCCTATACAATCATCATTCACTAATTGTTACTTCCATGAGAGATAACGGGATATTTTCCGAAATAAGAGTCAAAACAATGTGATTTCTAAGAATAGGAGTACTATGTTTTCCCCTAAATAAGAGCAAGTTATGGCCATCTTGAAATCATACTACCACAATTTGGCATTATCACGCACTAATGTGCCCGTAATAACTCATGGTTAGCAGTATCATCCAAACATTGCAATAATAACTCAGGGAAAAACATAGTATTCCTGTTTCGGAAAATCATATTGTTCTAACTCCCTATTTAGAGCAATTTCTGATAGATATTGCAAATAAATGGTTGTTCACTTGTGATTTAAAAAATGAACACACACAAAAGCTGTTGTAGTCTAGCTCAATTTAGCTAGAGAAATGTGGGCTAAAAACTGCCTAGTGGGATGTGGAATACATCTTCGTTAAACCCAACCCGTCAACCTACTAATTTGATGAATTAAATATATCGTACGTCTAACAAAACACTCTCTCCGCTTCATTAATTTTCGTTTTAGGATTCAGCAACCATTCTAAAAAACACTCATTGAATATCCTAGAATCTTGAAAAAAGTAATACTCAATCCCAAAAAATCAAGTGTAAAAAAATGATTCCAAGGAAAAAAGACATTTGAAAAAACAGTCCCAAAAAAATCTAGTTAACCAAACAAATCTTCCAAAAATTTCCCACAAATAAGAGTTACAAACAAGATGAATATGAAAATTAAACCAATAAATGAATTTTAAAATTATAAGTATGATTCCATGAAATTTAGGGATTTTTTGAGGTTGCTTCTACTTTAAAAAAAGTGATTTTAAAGAAAATGATTAATAGTAGAAGTTGGTAATGTTTGAGAAAAAATGATTTTGCAAAAGTAAAAGTTGTAATGTTTGAGAAAAAATGATTTTGCAAAAGTAAAAGTTGGTAGTGTTTGGTAAAACCGTAAAAGGGTACTTTTGGGGTAATGGAAAACGTGAAACGCAGAAGTCGTCACTTGAAAACACCACCTTCAGCTTTTTTTAAGCAAAAAAGCTGAAAAACACTTTTTAAATCTTTTGCAAACACTCCCTTAATAGTTGTACACTTGTACCTAGTAAAAACTAAAAGGTGCACTTTGACCAAAGTCACCAAACTCATAGAAATTCCCTTTTGGAGGACTGGGAGAGTAGAATACATAACTACCCTTACCTAATATCCTTCTTGTAAGTTGGTACTGTTAGAAGTTTTTATAATTGGAGAACTGAGACAGAAGAATAGTGAAAAAGGAAAACCGGTATTAGATACTCTATTAGTATAATACACAGACACGTATCATGAAACACAAATTAATTGACCTAAACCAACAGACAAACTGACTGAAACCAACCCAACCGAAACCGACAAAAACCGAACAAACCATAGGCTCAAGTTACACTGTAAGGTTCTTGGTTATACATCAATCAAAACCGACCAACTAACACCTCTAGTATGAACTATTACCAGGAAACTAGTTCAGAGCTGGAGAGCTGGTGAAGATGTTCAGTCATTAAGATCCAAGGAATAAATAGGTAGTTATCAGCTTATATGTTAGTCAAATCGCCATCGAGTTGTGAAAAAACGAAAAACAGACCACACATAGCCTTGCAAACACGGGTAAAAGAATATAAAATATGATTTGGGATGAGACAGCCCGGCAGCATATATAAAGCTGTTCGCTTCCTCAGTCTTGTTCATTGAAATGGCAACACTGAAGATAGAAAGAAGGTTGAATGACTTGAATCCATTAGATCTACAACGTACCATGAATACAACATTTGAAATTGGACCAACTTCACTTGACAGCAAACGCCGTGCAATAACTGCCTGCTCAACTATCTCCGCAGTATTTAAGTGTCTCTTTAATCCCATTCTGCAAATAATAACAATAAATAATAATAATAATAATAATAATAATAATAATAATAATAATAATAATAATAAATAATAATTAATAATAATAAAATAATAGCAATACTTATACAGTTATACCAATAAAAGTAATACTAATAAAAACAGCATTGACGCTTACTAGTTAGGACCAAGTAAACTCAACACTTCCACTTTTAGTTTACACCTTTATGGCTCTTTCGAAATGATTTTTTAAGAATTTTGAAGAGGGAAAAAAGAAGCACAATTAATATTCTAGGTGCCACATCATATTATGTAAATGAAGGTTGAGGAGACGGAGGACTACTAAGGAAAGAGTGTGACGTGAAAAATCCATACTTTGTTATGACTTCAAAAATCAGTAAAAATACTATTTTCAAAGTAATATATTGCTGCTATTAAAAAACTAAACAGTGCAAATAATTCATTTTAGTTTTAATAGGGTTAAAAACACTTTTTGACAAACAAAAAATATTACATAGGTGATTTTTTAAAAAAGTACTTTCTGAGAGAGTGCTTTTTATAAAACTTCTCACACAGTCACTATATTTGACGTGAAAAATAATGTTATACTTGCAGGGATGAAAAACAGTGAACTGAGCTTCCAGTTGACTAGTTAAATTCATGAAGAGGCAAGGATAATAATAGTAGTCTAGAACTTGCCTGCCAGTGTAGCAAAACTGGCAATTCATGGCGCAACCAACTTGACTAGAAATGCAGACAGTATTTCTGCCCCGTTCACAAGGTATAACTACAGTTTCTATTATCAAGCTGTCCTCCAACGCAAATAACATCTGCAACCCCCTGCGAGTTCTACATAAATGTGATGATTCTCAAAGAAGAGAACACTAAACTGCATTGTTATAGATGCTTCTAGGTAATAAAGGTATAGCGTTATTACAATTACCTTTTTAGTACCATCAGATGCTGTCACAATATCTTTCAAAACTAATGCTTTGAATTCAGCATGCTGACTTAACATTTTTCTGAATTCTTTATTCAAACCTGAAAGAGAAATATACAAATGCTCTTCAGTACCAGATATGAAATGAAGTGGTCAAATAGTATTTATAACATCAAACTCTCCAATAAAAACACGTCCTTTACAAATAGATATTGGGCAATCGTTCAGATGATTAAAATTACAGTAAATAGTAATCAACAATGAACCTTCTAACTCTTCACTAGACTGTGCCCAAATATTATTTGCATAAAGGCGCTTCCACAGCATCAATGCCTGAGCAGGCCTAAAACCTTGTGACTGAACCCATTTCTGCAAAAAGAATCCAGAGAAATAACTGAGGGGCACAAAAGGGAAACATAAGTGCATATATCAATCATAATATCCAAATAGGAAATATACTAGAAGCCTCATCAATATCCAAAATATCGAATAAGAATGCACAAACACTTTATGTGGATGCAGTGTAACGGTGTAACCCTAACTTAAATCTGAAGAGTAGAAGACAGCATAGAATCATAGATATAACTCATAACATGCATGCACATACCTGTAAGCCCCAAGGCTTAAGCATCACTGTGTTGCCTAGAGGCGTAAGCATCACATGCATGAGACATAAGCCTCATGAGGCGGTGCCGCCGCCGCGGTGGAGTTCAAGCCTCATTTTACCAAGCAAATGGTCCAGAAAATATTTAGAATCAGGCTTTATTTGACATATCGGGCCCAATAAGGCTTTATTTTGTCTGGGCTCCATTGAGTTTATTAAAAAATCCAATATTTGAATATGCAAAATCCCAAGGTCCCCATTTAGATACTCTTTTCTTAAGTTTACTATTTCTCTCTTCATATGGTAGTCTCCTACTCTTCTACTTGAAGCTGCATTAGTGCACTGTACAACTTCATATAACAAGGAAAGCTTAATCATCTATGCATGATCCTAGTTCTGTAGCAGTAGTTCAGCAGCAGTTCCTTTTACGTTCTGTGTGGCTGCTTTTAAGTGTTTCTAATCTACTTCTCTTAAACATTTGGTTATTTAAATGAAATCTGGAGATTTACTAAGCAATTATATTTGCTACACTAAATAGTCATTTACATTATTAAGAACTTGTATATGTTTCCTTGCACACAAATGGGCTATATAAAATTTTTATAAGGTTTTTCCCATTTGCAGGTGAGGTTTGAGATTCGGCTCACAGCTCATCTCTAGGATTAAGTCTCATGAGGCTAAAGTAAAATAACTTCAGGGGGTTCCGATAGGAAAGCAGTGTTTTATTTTTTTTCAATTAAGAAAATATATACGACTTGATAAATAAGGACTCTGACCCTGAGGTTAAACTAATCTGTCAATTATATCTTGTATTTTGAAAAAATATCAAGGAGGTATAGCACAACATTTTACAAATATCAATATAAAATAACTCCTTCCTCCCTTTCGCTCTTAAACTCCCTTCTTAAACACACCCCTAAGGTTTTTAATGAAGAAATTGTTCCAATAGGAGTACAACATATAAAACGTGCACAAATACGAGTAGATATGGTTTATTCCCAAAACAGGACTTATTTGGTTCTATTGACAGTTTAAAACTTCCCCAATTAAGAGTGAGTGGGTCCTATTTTAGGAAGTAAACAATGATGATCCTATTTGTGAATTGTATCTATGTTTTTTACTCTTATTTAAGGAATTTTCTCTTTTTAATAAAATTACATGACTTATTGCACCAAGGAGGGAGGCATAGTCATATTATGATTGATATCGGCGGCATATATGACCAACAAATACGCAGTATCTGATCCAACGGTGAGGGTCAGCCAATATTTCTGCACAGTCATTTATGCATGTACAAGTCTAAGATGCAAGTGAAAAGCCTCCAGACAGACAACTTAAATATTTCAATTCTACACCTCCCTCCCCCCCCCCCCCCCCCCGGCAAAACCATTTGCCTTTGCAACAAGTTATTTCATAAATAGATTAGCACATATATAACTACAAGTGTGTTTTCTTTCTCCTATGAATTGAGTCCATAAAGTCTGTGAAAAAATGAAAACATATATACATATTTTTGCAGTTTTAATTCCAGGCACATGTATCCTAACTAGCGTCAGTATATGTTTAGGTGCATTCTCATGGTCCCTTTCAAAGATAAATTATTGGGCATAAATTTATTGACAGTCCCAAATTTCTGATAAAACACTTCTAAGCACGGAAGACCCATTCAAGTTTCAACATTCTCTTCAACCCTTTAATCCTAGTCACACAAAGCTTCTGCAAACCTAATCACTGCAACAATTATTATTGACAAAAAAATAAATGAGATTACTCTACAATCATGTATGAAGAGAAATACATACTTCAAGTTCAGCGTATCTCATTCCTTTCAAGATGACTTTGGAGCAGTTCCCCGAAGCTCCTTTAGTGTCCATTTCTCCTAGAAAATGGCATGAAAAATAAGGTACTGACGGTTTAAAAAGGACCAAAAACTGAAAGTAAGTACGTGCAAAAAAACGTCATATTTACCGCTGGGGACATCGGTTTGAGTACGAAGGGATGGATTGACAGTGGGTTCGGAGGGGCGAATGGTGGCTGTAACCAGGCATCGCTGAGAGTAAAGAGAGCTAGGCGCCGGTAGTTGAAGGTATGAAAGCGATGGGGGTGGGCGTTTAACTATATAACTGGCAAGCGTGAAAATATCGGCTGAACCGCGGAACACAGCCGCCGCACCGGGGAATTGAATTCTTCTCATCAGCACACTTCGGTTCATCTCAGTCTGAGAACCTGGTTTTTTTTCTCCAATAAAAATTCCCTACAAACTGAAACCCACTAAACCCAAACTGATTAATCATACTCCGTACATGATTAGGTTGACGGACCATTCTTGGTGTACACAAGATATACACAAAATGTGTACATTGTCTGTGTATACAGACAATTTGACATCAAACCATGCCTTTTTTAAATGAATTGCATGTGTATACAGGTAATTATGGGGGTTTGTGTACAATTTATGTACAACTTGTGTATACTAAGAATTTTCCTTAGGTTGACAGTTTCACCAGTTAAAAAATCTAAGGCCGAGCAAACTGGTTTGATTTGACCCAATCGAACCGAACGGAAAATTGATAGTGTGGTTTGGTTTAAGTTTACTCAAATAAATTGATTGGTAGAAACTTCTCAAACCCGATGGTTTTGTTTGATATTGTTTAAAATCGAAAAAGCGTAAATCGAACAACTTGTAATATACTACGTATGTAAATATTTTGTACTTTTCTTTACTCCTTATCTTTGGTATATAAATAATTTAGATATAAAAAATACTCCATCCGTCCCTTATAACTTTGTCAACTTTCCTTTTTTAGATGTCTCACTAACTTTGTCATTTTCCCTTTTAAGTAGATAATTTGTGGTTCCAGTTAATTCTTCCTCCTCTTCACAAACCTTAAACACACAGTTTTTACTTTATCAATCTCCGTATCGGTCAAACTTGGCAAAATTATTAGGGACGGAGGGAGTACAAACTTAGCAGATACTTTCTATGATTTTGACTTTTACACATTTCATATACTCAATATGACAAGATTAGCTAATACGAAGTACGACATATTTGTATTTGTTATGTTTTGTATTCTGCTTGTTTGAAAAGATATTTGGCGATAACAATATCAAATTGCATTTATATTTTTACATGACTCATTTGAATAAAATTGTGAATATTACAACATTTGTATTCATCACTTACTCATTTAGTTTTCTTTGAATACTTTATGTGATATTATAAATGATAAACTAATAATATTTTTTGGATATTACTCATGTAGATTATAAGTGAAAATATCCACACTTTTTCATGAGTAGATTATAAGTGAAAATATCCACAACTTTCACAAAAAATTAGAATCTTTGTCTATTGATGAAAAATGTTAGAAGTTCTAATTTATATGTAGCAATATTTTATTATTTCTTTTTCTATCTTTTATTTCCTTTCATATTTTATTTAAATAATAAATAAAAGAAGATGGGAAATCGAATCAAACTATAAGTTGAACCGAATCAACTAAAAGCACTCATTTTCTAATTCTAAATACAATGGTATAAAACTTAATCAAGTACTAGTAAAATAATAAACATAAGAAACCGAATCAAATCAAACTAATAATTTCATTTTGGTAAATCGAACTGAAACCAAACCGAAATAGAAGTGCTTTTAATTTGATACAAATTCTCCAAAATTGAATGAACTGAAACCTCTGTGACGGCCAAATGATCTCCCTCCTGTAAGTCGATATCTGTGATCTGTCAGCCAGAAGCTTAGCACAAGGTGTGAGGCGAGCTACTCAACACCACAAACTTTGCTAGGTTGATTTTTGGGCCTGGAGTACTTATGGGCCTAGCCCATTTGAACTGGTTTTTCTTATGGACCGAGCTTCCAACAACAATAAAGCTAAGTATATTCCTCAACTTTGTACCATCTTAATAAAAAAATGGTTAAGAAAATCATAAATTGAAACATTTAAAAAAATTAAGTGGTATAATTGCTTTTACTCTTTTCAAATGTGTGTAATTTTAACATTGAAAAAACGGACTTATGAAATCCGATCGCTCACATGCACCGGATGAGCACACACACTTGTACAATGGCCGAGAACACATACTCGCGCCCCTGGATCGTGTCATATGAGTGTGGCGATTAATAAGCTCCAATATAAATGTTAGTACCGCACACTCTTGATTTCATACGAGTTCTTGTGTGCTCTTAACCCCTACTAGTGCATCACACTCCGACCGCAGAGGACGATTCGTTCGTTCAAAGTCTTCACTTGCGGGTTCGAACTACTAACCTCGGGCGGCGGGTTAAACTCTTTTTAGGGGCCTATAGCCACGCTCTTTCAAGCAATTTTGTAACTTAATTGACATTCACATTTCCCGAAAAGGCTGACACACTTTAGTTCTTTGGGGGTTGGATTATCCGTTCAAAGCATCGCTCGCAGATTCAATCTTTCTTTCAAAGGCTGAGTTGAGGCCTAACTTGGGAACTTGATGCCACTCTTTTCGGGTGGTGAATCTGACTCACTTATAAGGCAAATGCCATATTCTACACTCGTTGCTTTTATGTGTAGGTACGACAGAATGAAGGCGGCTCTATTCGAGTCACCTCAAGGAGCGAGGGACTGGGGGATTTACCGTCTTCAAGGATGCAAATGACGAACCTAACGAGTTTGAGCCCAACGAGAAGAACAGTTCTAGCTATCCTCTTCGGAGACGGTGACTATTACAATAGAGGATGAGGATTTCACCTCTAGCTTCACCTTGGGGGCATCAGGTGTACTCTTTTTTCCTTCATTAGGATTTTTTCCCATTAGGTTTTTTCCTAATGAAAGTTTTTGATGGGGCATATCCCCGACATGGACAAGAGTGGTGATCTCCCAGTCTCGGAGAAGAGCAACTGACTTGGACTACTCCCTCTTAGTCGAGCCTACTACTCGACTAAGGGGTTGGGGGATTCGTGATGAAGTTATGGAATTAGGACCAGAGCTTAGTCTGTCCAAACCCCGAACTTGGACCAGTGGATCCCAAGCGCACAACCTGGATCCTGCCTACCAGCCCAACCGGGAGCCTGCCAGTCCGGCCAACCTGTCAGTCAGAAAGAGTAACGGTCAAGCAATTAATGCACCATTTAATTTTATATTTAATTCTGTATTAATGTTGTAATTATTTAGTCATAACTATCGGTAGCAGTTACAATTTGTATACGCCTATAAAAGGCATCTTGTAATTCAATTTAGAGACTGCAATTTATATATGCTATTTCTGGCAACTAAATCTCGTGAGCACTTTCCATTTTCGTAGTATTTTCTATTTTCATGCTTCAGTGTCGATCTTTCGTAGCTTTCCTAAAAGCTTACGAACGTCCTATTTTGGACCAACAGATGTCATTTGAATAAATATCATAGTTACTCGGGTTATTGAAGAGTCACTACCAGGATAATCATTTATAGATGTTCCTATAGTAGGAACGGATGAACGAAACTACTCAAAACCGAACCGAAGGTGTTAAGACCTAGAGTTCCATCCCAAAAAGGCAACTTGATAGGAGAATTAGCCCAAAATCTTATATGCTATTTTATTATTTTATAGGCTAAAGGATCGAATAGGTCCTTCTACTTTTCTGGATTGCTCAATTTACCCCCTGAACCCAAAAAAAACTCCAATTAGCACTCTAAATTCGATAAAAAGATTCAAGTTTCACTTGTAATAGGTCACAAGCCGATCATCGCCACGTCACCCAGTGGGGTGCCAACTATGCATGTGATGTCATGCCCCAGACCGTATCCAAGCGCGTGTACAACCGCCGTATGACTAAATGACGTCACTCGCAAGTCAACGTGACTTAATCATACAAGGCGTCCATGAACATTGTTCATACCGTTCTCAGTAAGTAAACATACATAACAACATCACATATTTGGATTGAACGAATCGCGGAAATATTCAATATTCAATCATGGGCCACATATGGCCAAAACGTGGACTCGCAGGCCCAAAACAAATGTACTTATTACAAAATATCCATGAGCATAGTTTATAGTTTAAAAACGGTAAAGGAAGCACGAACCACGTCTCCCTTTAGATCTTCACCGAGCAAGGTGAGAATAGCAAGCTTGAGCTTCAACCTGAAATGGTGGGGCCCCCCGATGGGGTCAGTACAAGTATCGAGCGAGTAGCAGGCTAAATGTAGAATAACTAACGTTTCAAGTATAAGACCCACACATAGGGTGATACATATACATATAGTTCTTTCCCCCAAGTTATGAAATATATATCATCATATATACACTTGGAAATACCCGAACCATAGGTCATTGTTTATTTGGGAAATAATATAGCCAATAACCTTGGCTTAAACCTTAACCCACTCATACACCTATGAGTGTATAGAACTCCTCCTGGTTCAAATCATCTTAATATGAGGACACCGCCCGGTCCTAAATTACAAAATAATAATCTATGAGTTTTGAGGATACACGCCCGATCCTTGGGTACTCCACCATATATAACCGAGTTTTGAGGATAACCGCCCGATCCTTGGGTACTCCACCCTATAACCGAGTTTTGAGGATACACGCCCGATCCTTAGGTACTCCACCCTATAACCGAGTTTTGAGGATACACGCTCGATCCTTGGGTACTCCACCCTATAACCGAGTTTTGAGGATACTCGCCCGATCCTTGGGTACTCCACCCGACTTATGATCTACCACATATCATCCTAGATAAGGTCTATATCATAATCAATAATCAAGACTAAACCAAGTCTTAAGGCCTAAGCATAATCATCCATGTAATTCATGCATTAAAATCAACATATAGGTAAAACAGTGCCAAACCGGCGCCGGTTTTGACATAACCGGCGCCGGTTATTAATTAAATTAATTAAACCGGCCATGCCGATCCATAACCGGCGCCGGTTTTGCCTATAACCGGCGCCGGTTACCCCCTGGGCAACCTAGTCAACATTTTCGTTGACTCGGCATTTCAAACCCGATTTGCGTCAAACTTAATCCCAACGTGTATTAAGTTATAACCAATCATTTTATACCGTGTTTATCCTTTAAAACATCATATAAGTTTTTATAAACATTTCCTTATCATACATCATTTATGATAGTAATGGTTCATTCCATATAAGCCCAATCACTTTGGCTAATTACATGTTTAAGCATCTTTTAAACATCATAATGAACACATATAACATTTACCTAGGTAATCTCATACTTAACCCAAGATTTATAAGAC